TGAGAACAGCCTTGGACAATCACTTTTTAAAATCAGCAGGCAGAGATGAGACAAACACATATTTCAAAATGTCAGCTACCTGCTGGTTTCTGCTTTCCTTGGTGATTATGTAGCTTTGGAAGCATATAAATGACTAGTTTGTTCATAAAATCTAATTTGCTGAAACAAAATTTCCAATTAAGCTTTTACAAGGGAGATGATATTTAGGACCAGGTCCTCAAATGGTGTAAGCCTGTGTGTCTATACGAAAGTCACCTATTTATACCAGGAATGGGCCTGGCTCTCAGCAGAAACATGGCCAGCTAGCACTTCAATGTTATAAGCTAATATAAGGTCCTAGCAAGGAGATGGTCAAGAAATAAGGTAAATCAGAAGGAAAAATATGTTAGATAATCCACATATGTATCAAGTTCCCCTTTGAAATAACTGTAAAATAATTTCTTCCTCCTTGACTAAACAAGATGATTCAGGAGTCATTTCTTAAAAAAAAAAATCTGCAACACTTAATGGCATTGTTAATCCTTAAAACAATGCAGTATTTTAGATCCCGGTCATGCTGCTGAGGTTGTCAGTATCTCAGACAAAATGCAGAATCATAGTCTAATGTTTTTGGGCTTGCCCCTCAACACACTGAAATCAGCAGTGAAGCTCCTGTTGGTCTTCATGGTACAGGATCAGTTTCAGAATTGGTAACCAGAAAAGAAACTGATGTTTGTCTGTCTTGTTTGAAAAAGCATGTATTTAGTAGTAGCTGCTCCAAACATCTATTCTGCTACTAGCTTGGGATTTTACAGGTTTCCTTCGCTTTATGCTGTATATGAATTCCTGGAAAATGGCGCATAACTTGAATTTGTATAAAGGAAACCCACTTTACAATGTAACAATAGGGATACAGTCCAAGACCTTGACTGTACTGACCCCCTGACCAATTTCTACTACTTTTATGAGACAATTCTGGTACTCGCCAACAGCAGATGGTACACACAGGTACAGGGTGGTGGTGAATGTTTAGTTGGTGTAAAGAGAGGGTGGTGAAGGGTCTTCAGTATCAGACTCCACATCACTGGTGGACCAGGGAGAGGGGGAGGAAATAAGATAGCGGGACACTTAGAAGCCATAATGGGGATGGCAACTACAGAAACATGTCACGGACAATGAGCAAGGAGCGCAGATCCATGCAGGAGACTATATTTTGGTGCGTGTCATTCCCACAATGCACTGCATAAGCAGCTGATTGCAGGCTTCCGCCACACTGATTGCATAAGAGTGAATTTACCTCTCATATAACAAATCGCACATACAGAACTCACATACAATGAGAGAAACTTGTACTTTGTTTTTTGAAGTGGGGGAGTTAATAAAAAGAATTTCCATTAAGACTTTTCTTGTATGGTTTATAATGATAATGGAACCCATAAATTATATGAATAATAGGAAAACAGCCAGGGACTAGCAGGAACTTAAGAGGAAGCCTGGATGTGTCTACACAAGACGCTTTACTATGCAGTAGAGCTAATTACTGTGCAATAAATGTCTGCGTCTACACATGCAGATGCTTACTGCACAGTAATTGACTCTAATCACAAGTAAATTTGCCGCCTGCATATGCAAGAAGCAAATTTACTTGAGATTACTTACTGTGCAGTAGTGCCTGACCAGGAGAAAATGTGCTCCAGGTCAGCTGGGCAGCAAGGGGCAGGAGATTGCTCCCTGTTCCTAGGAGCTGCCTGCTGCTGGGGCAGCTCTGCCACCAGAGCCCTGATGGGGACAATGTCCCCCTGCCCCGGAAGCAGGGAGCTCCCAGCCCCTGCTCTGTGGTTGCGGGGCTGGTTCTGGGAGATCCTTATCTCCCAGGGCCCGCCCCAGGACTGCCCATGGGAGATAAGGATCTCCCAGCCTGGGTCCCACAACTGCAGAACTCGCACAACTGCGGGACTTAGGCTGGGAGAGAAGGATCTCCCAGTGCCAGCCCCAGGACTGTGGCGCTACCATTGGGAGACAAGGACCTCCCAGCCTGGGCCCTGCAATCACAAGGCAGGAGCTGAGGGCTCCCTGCTGCCGGGGCAGGGGGACATTGAACCCACCCAGGCTCCAGTGGTGGAGCCCACCTTGGCAGCGGGCAGTTCCCAGGGGCACGGAGCAATGTCTCAGCCCCTGCCAGGAGCCAGCTGTCTTCTGGCCCCTGGGCTAGCACGCAGGAGGAACCTAGAGCTCCCCTTGCTGCTGCAGGGGCCCGTTGCTGGGCTAACAGGGAGTGGGAGCAGTCTCCTGCTAGGAGCATCAAATCTTCTCCCACATCCCTGCATGTGTAAACATGTGCCTAGAAGAGTTTACTCTCCGGTAGTTCACTCGAGAGTAAACTGCTCCTGGATTATTTGCACGTATAGACATGCCCCCTGAGAACTCTACACAGAAACTGTACTTACATGGTGATGGCAGAGGTGAGAGGAAAGGACTAAATTACATGAGATTAGAGTAGTAAGGCAAGGGGTTATCATCTAAAATTAAACAGAGAAACATTTGTATTGAACTAGAAATAAAAACTAAGAGTGGGGATGAGTCAAGCGTGACATAACTTTCTCGGTTCAGAGATCAACTGCCCTCATCTTCAGAAGTGTTCACGAATAAGTTAGACATTTTTATGGTGAGATTAATATTTTAGAAAACCTTCTGTGGTTCAGAGATCAACTGCCCTCATCTTCAGAAGTGTTCAAGAATAGGTTAGACATTTTTATGGTGAGATTAATATTTTAGAAAACCTTCTGTGGTTCATGGACATAGACTAAATAAATCAAAAAGTCCTTTCCAGCCCTGACCATCTACAGATCTTCTGCACAGCCTTAATTACATCAGGGAGTTCTAGTAATATCAACAAATGTATACTGAAATAAGAGGAGACATATAATGGTAAACTATGCCAGACAGGTTGAAAAAGATTGACTATGAGGATGAAGTACTTGAAGCCACACATTGAAAACACCATTGTCCTTTGACACAAAATGTTTTAGCGTGAGCAGAAATGTCAACCGTATGTTATATATTATTTAAAAGTGTTGGGCTTTTGTTGCGTTTTACTCTAACAACACTGGAACTTAATTTAGTCTTGGAAAAGGCTGCTGTTTTTGAAGGAGAGGATGACATGACTGTTGACCAGTGACATAGCTTCATCAGTACTACCAGTAGCCTCTGGAAGTGTGACTGCTAGTTTATATCCCTCATTTTCATTTTTAGAGTTCCTTTTTACTCCTGAATACTTATGACCTTATCTGTGTTCCTGGGAGTGTTTAAAATTGTTTTTAACTTCACACTACTTTAAACCTTTGTTTACCTCCATGATTTGTATAATAGAATGTGGATGGCAAACCTATGAAACAAAAAAATGTACTACAAATACTGAACTAAGTGTGGAAAAAATTTAAATGTCTCAAATATGGGGTTGCTTAGCCCCAAACCTATTGTAACAAAGGATACTCTGACACTCCCATTTACAACCCTTGAGAAATACAACTGAATCTGTTTCAACCAATGGCTCCAAAGTTGATATTATGTCAACACTAATGCCATACAAATCAAGTAGAAGAGATCATCTGGGAACATCTGTGTAGGCCAAATCTTGAAATTCAGTCAGAATTTTGCCCACCTAACAATTTGGTGAGTTCTGTTAGAGAAATGACTTCAGGATTCGGACACGTATCATATGAATGCATATTTCCACTTAAAACTAAAATACTTATTTTTTAAGCTTTCTGGTCAGCATGTCACTCACCAAATAAATCATGCCACTGTCACTGTCATGTCCTAACAACAATAACACCAGGGTATAGCGTATGGCTTTGGGTTTTTCTGTCATCCAATTTTAGGAATTTTTTAATAGATCCTTCATGTTTTTAGTGTCTCCCCAGAATGGTATCTGCTGCACTCATGTAGAGCACACCATTACATATACAAGCTTAACACAAACTGATCAGCAAGCATGAAAGTTGGCAATGCTTGTTCCGCCTGGTATACAGGGTTAAGTCCGATCACAGCAAGAGGTGCTGAAACATTTGCAGGCTGGGTTGTGATTCTGTCTGCAAACACTGATTTGGTCCATGAAACTGCAGCAGCCAACGGTTAGAAAAGAGATCAATTGTCATGTCAGCCAGACAACTGCAGAGCACTACTTCTGACTTCCTTATATGAGAGCACAGGCTTGCTCCATGGAGCTGAAGAGAATCCCATGTATCAACGAGCACCTGGATCTAGCCAGTGTCTGCCAAAGAGCAGTGAGTGATCCTGTGTTGCTCTGCTGGGAGGGGACACAGCCCTATCCGCAGCTCCCTGGACCTGTGGGATGTAGTGGTGGGTAAATCCTATGCCGTCATAGGGAGAGCCTTGCACCCTGGACCTGCTGTGCGTTGATGAGGCTATTGTCTACTGTACAGGGATGGATTAGATTAGATCTCCCTGACCGACTGGTCCATTTATACCAGGGACTGGTTACTGCTACAGCGATGGGAATGCAAAAAAACTCAGCTGGGCTGCATCACATTTACTTATTTTATTCCCTCTCCTTTGCATTCAGAATCAGCATCAGACAGATCGAGTTGGGCAGATTTCAGCAGAGCCAGCTAATGACGTTCTCTGGGATTGCTTTTTCTGGCTCTGAAATGCACTGAGGGGGCTTCGGTTGGGTTTTGGTTTTTGTGGGTTTTTTGGTTAATGTTTGTTTCAGTCTCAAAGACTACGTTTGTTGGAGTCGGTTCAGCTTAGTAAACACGAAATGCTGCAAGTGATCGAGTCCTGCATACAGTCCGGTTTTCCCCTGCAGAGTTCAATTTAGGAAACCCTACTGCTCACTGTCCTATTGTGTTTGCACACAGTGAGTATGTGCTTCCATCCACAGAGCTGTCTCTGAATACACACACAGACACACACGCATACACACTACAGACACACACACTACACCTCCCCCCCCGCCCTCCCCGCGCAGACGGATATACATGCCCTTGATTGCTCACCTCCTCTCGAGCATCTGCAGAGGCAGGTGTTCTTTCCTGGGGGGTATTTGCAGATGTTTCAGCAGCTGGTTCTGTATCCGCCTCCGAAGACATCCTTTGCCATTACAGGGCGCTCAACCCCCCGCACGCAAAATAAACCTCAGGGGCAACGGGATTTCAAAGTTCCTTCTCCCAGCAAAACAATGGGGTTTCTTCCCCTGGAAGGAAGCTTTGGCACTGCAGGCTTCTCCCCGTCTTCAGAGCAGTTCTCTGGTCCTGCAGGAGCTACAGGATCTCTGTCTGGTCCCCACCGCCGCACTTCACACCCCAGAGGCGGGGGGGCTCAAGTCACTCACTGTCCCTTCATGTTGCAAGTCTACCTTAGCAGCAGAAGCCAGAAGCTGCACTTCGGAAAAGTGCCTCCCAGCTGGTCGGGAATGCGTCCCTGGCAATGAGTGAAACCCTGCAGCTGATGGGTAACTTTAGGGATCAAAAAGCAGAGAGAACAAAGGCAGCTCTCAGAGATGAAGGGGCTGCTTTGCCAATAGCACCAGCCCCTCTCCCTCTGCCGGTGCAGCCTCCCTGCCTGCGCGCCCTGTCAATAAATCCTCAGCCTTTGCAGTCCACAACTCTGCAGTGGAGCTGGTGCCTGCCAATTTGGACTCTTCCTATCCACAGCAGCTCACACCTTTCACCCTAAGACCCACCGTAAAATCCTTCGGGGGGGGGGGGGGGTGTCTCTTGTGCAGGCTCCTAACAAAGCCCTAAATGCATGCCCAGAAGAAAAAAAAATAACAAAGAATGAACTTCTTCATGTGACACCTGGAAACCACCGTGGAGTGTGAAGGAATCGTCCCAGTGCAAAGTCAGTGTGGCACAGAAAGTAAGTAGGTGTTGTAGCTGTTTCTCATGTCCTGCTGGGCAGCAGAGCATCCCTGTGCGCAGTGCCTCCCAGCCCCTTTAGTCCATCCCAGAGTGAGGGGAGGAGAGCCTGGTCCTCTTTGGGAGTAGAAAACTCAGCCCAAGCCTTTGCATTGTGTCCTTGCCGGGTGTCTGTGCGAGCTGTTCCAGGCTGCCTCGATGCCCAGGAGATCAGAGGTGAACAAAGCATCTGTTGCTTAGAGTGGTACTAAAATATTTTCCATGAAGAGCCCATGCCTGGCTTTGGGGGTCACAAACCTCCCCCCCACAACAATAAACAGACAAGCCCCAGCATGGGTCTTCCCTTCTTCCCAGGGCCAGTGCACTTCATTCCTTAGCCAACACCACTTAAGTGTCCATCACCTCTCTCTTCACTAATACACATTTGCAAAGGAGATGAAGCCCTTATCAGCTTCTTTCTCTCTTTCCTTTCTCCCTTCCCCCTCTCCAAACCTCCCCAATTCCTTAGCCTCTCTTTTGTTCACATTTATTTCCAACAGATCCCAATCCCCCTCCACAACTACAGCCTCCTGCAAACTCTCCACCCTGTCAATATTTCTTCCCCCTCCCTGCATCCTGAGATCAGTGCATTCATTCATTACCTGCCCGCATGCGGACCATGAATGTTATGCTGCACCATCTTCTCTCTGCATGTTTGCTTCATGTTTCATTACCCTCTCTGCCTTGTGAGATTCATCTCATTTGATCTGTTTTTCCCCTTATGCTTTGGAGAGATATATCCCTAAATGCTTTTCAAAGTCTTGCAAAGAGGTGAGTGAGTGCATACCCAGCTTCTGCCTTAGCTTCTGAATTCTCAACTCCAGCCCTCTCATGTCCCTTTTTTTTGTAATACTGCACCAGGCTCAACAAGAGTCCACACCAGATTAAAGCAGCTGGTTGCTGTCACAGTACATGGCCATGAAGATCCTGGAGCTTAGTGCATGAATATGCTTGCATAACAAAAAGCAGGGAGCCCAGAGCATGCTGGAGTTTTTTAGACTTGTTGGTATCTGACTGAATGGAGTGTTTTAAGCGCATTCATTCAGTTGGGGTCAAAGTCTACCTTCAGGCTACCTCTACTTGTAAAAAGATGTTGCTGGAAGGACAGCTATGAGGTGGAACTGTTTTATCCTTGGTGGACCCTTAGCTCAGGAGGGATTTTCCAAGAGGGGGAGACCTATCTAGAACTAGGTCTGATTAACTCCATGGAAATCTATAACAGCTACAGCTGATGGATATGTCCTGCAGTGCATATATGCCTGATAGCTTTATAGTCCCAGGTACCTTTTCCTTCCCTGGCAGGATCTTTGTTTGGCTGGATGTCCAGGTGAAAAGTAGCCTGGTTTTTGCTCCCATCAGTCTGTGAGAGGAGGTGTGAAAAGCACAGCCTTATCAATGGAGGAAACATATAAGTAGGTGTAGCACACAAACAATTATAATGCCATGCTCTGTTCCTGCAGACCACATGGAAGGAAATGAGAGCTGCCAGCTGCAGGAAATGGTATAGAGCAAGGGTTGACAATCTATGCCCCATTGCCCAGATTTGGCCTGCAGATCTATCAGAGCTAGCCCATTGAACCAGGGGCTTTGGTAGCATTCCAGTGGTGGGGGCTTCAGTGGCATTTGGCAGCTAGGGGCTTGGCTCTGCTATAGCCAGGGAGCTTCACCTGTGTCATGGCCAGGCAGCAGGGAAGCAGTGGCAGCAGAGGCTGGGTCCTAGCCTGGGCCACCTTGGACCTGCGCTGTCATTCCAGCCTGCCACCAAAAGATGTTTCTGACCACTTGTGTAGAGGGGTCAAAAATGGGGTTTGGCTGGCATGTGCGTGGTGTGTGTGTATGTGTATAGACTCTTTCACTGGTTATATATAGTGATATAAAATGATGTATGGAAAATTGCCTGGGGATGTGAGAAGTATTGTGGTTAAAGGAACACGTAACCATTAGACCTGTGTGTTGAGGTACTTTGAGTGAATCATATGGGAGAGCCCAAAAGTTCATTTGCAGAAACTAAATGTACAAGGGTCACTGAAGGAAAAAAGATGAAGTGAGGTGGAAAGTTGCCTGACAGAAGGCAGGAGGAAAGATCAAATCACCCTGAACTGGTCAGGCAAATGGGAATGAGAACTACTCAAACAGTGGAGCCCATTACCATGGATATCAGGAATGAGGCTGTTCAATGTCCCCCACCCATTCTTTGCCTACAGGTATTGAATATGCACCTGTACTAAGCAATAACCTACCCATTGTGGCTTGGTGCAGTCTTGATCCAAGACTGCACCAAGACTGCACCAAGTTTCATACCAAAAGCATGAAACTTTTGACTCACTCAGTTCCACAGATCCTTAGTATTTGTTGTTGAATAGATGTTGACTCTAAACAGGCTCATTGGAGGATGATTCCTCCAGCTGACTCCAAGGACTGCTAAGGAGAGGTGAAGTGCGGGTTGGGATTTCAAACCTAAGCCCAGTTTAGGGGGAGCATAGGCTTCGGGTACCTGGCACATCATTAGGTGCTGTCAGTACACTAGTTGTTGCACTTGAACCAAAGCATGAGTAAAGCCTAAAGAACAAAGAACAGAACTGAGGTCTAAAAGGAGAAAAGGAGGGTTACTGATTTGATAATGAAGCTTGAGGACAGGCAAAGTATCTCCACTTGGTGCTTTGTGTCTGCCTCCCTGGCTGCAGACTGACTGCATTACTTTAAGTAACCAAGGTTGCCTTCTGACCCAGAAGGGACAGAAAAAATGAAAGCTTAAATTCTAGGCAGTACAGCAAAATCCATGCAAAGAAGCTCATTTTGCAGTTCCATAAATACAGAGGATCAGTGTCACTGGTGCTATCTGCCTGAAGGGGCTATTTTTGTTCTTTATAAGCCTTTCCCTCTTTCCTAACAGACATTAGTTATGAATAATTATAATTATGCGTATATAGAGAGAGAGAGACAGAGAGAACGCACCTAAAATGTGAGAAACACCACAGGTAGACACACAGAACTCATGCTCTACCCTAAAGTTCAATTCCTACTGTCTGGGCTCAATGCCTAGTTACCCTCTCTTCTTATAAAACTAGGAAAATAAAATGCAAAATGCATTTTCACTGATGCTCCCACTTTTCAGACTAATAAGAGATTGGTGCAATCTGTCTCCATGGTTAATGTAAGGTTAGAAACAACCCAGTTTTTTCTGAGAGCATTAATACAGAGCATGAGTCAATTAAAATATTCCTCTAAGCATGGGGAGGGCCATTTCACAATGTATCAGGCAGCATATGGTTTTATACCTTAGTTAGATTGTACTGGGGATACATTTGCAAAGCTGTTGCACTGTTCTAAGTCAATCTGCATGTGGGAGCTTGTGTGACTGTCTTGCAGACGAGACAGAAAATTGGGGTCTTGATGACTTATGACTATTGGAGCTCCTGCAGCACTTTATCAAAAAGGGGTCTTTACTATTCTTTCCTGGAGAAATGCCGACCTGAGTAATTACATTATAACCACTTAAAATTATCCCTCCCTGGAAGAGCTGTGTGAACTTTCCTGGCACTGTTAAACATCTGCCAATTCTGCCCTGGAGGTGGCTGGATTTCAGCAGTGGGCAGAATAAGTCTTATATGGACGGGTGATACAGTTACTTATGTAAATAGGTATGTTGGGATCAGGCTGGATGAGAGATATTGTTGTTAAATGTTAAGTAAGTCACATTATCCTAGGATAATTGCTTTATGGTTGTCTGCCATAGGAACTGGTTCATAGCTGCTTAAAGTCAATGAGAGTCTTTTCCTTGACATCAATAGGCTTTGGCTCAGGCCCTAGTGTAGAAATGAATATGCTATTTATTTTCTTAGTTGTTAAAAAAAATCTATTTGGGTGATATTGGAGTTTCCTTAACTTATATCTGCTCATGAGACTATAACCCGGAACATGTCACTTACACTTTATAAAGTGTAAAAGGAAAAGGACATAGCTTCAATATTATCACTTAGTGCAGTATTTGTGAATCAAATTGTGGACACAGCCGAAGAGGATCTGTCTGGACCATTTACAAAATGATCTTTGATATCCTTTTAGGAAGTAAAAAGCTGAAGAGGGACATAAATAATTTATCAGGACAGGGATTACATTCTCTGGTTGCTTGTGATTTGCTGCCTTTTTGGAGCAAAAGAGGACAAAGACAGTATTCCCTCTTAGTTTGCAAA